CTTCGAACATACGTGGTTTCAGCAAGACGGTGCAGCTCCGCATTACGGGAGGAATGTTCGTAATTATCTTAATGCAGTATTTCCTGATCGTTGGATAAGTAGACGAGGAGCTATTGAATGGCCGGCTATTGATCACCCGATCTCACAGCATTAGATTATTTCTTGTGGGGTTATTTAAAAGAAATAGTTTACAAAACAAAACCACAAGATCTAAATGAACTTAGAAATCGTATTCTTCAGGCAACTGCTTTAATCCCTAATGATATAATCCAAAGAGCTGTAGCATCATTTTACTACAGAATAGCTTGTTGTCAAACAGTTGATGGTGGACATTTTGAGCAACTGATATCATGAAACGTTCCTTGGGCCATCTTGCTTAATTAAAAGCAATTTGATGTTATGATGCCTTTATTGACAAGAAAAACCTATTCTCTCTTTAATTTTCCGGACACAGAACCATCTTGCCTTAATCGGCCGGATATGATTTTCCTCTTGCCTTAATCGGCCGCGCGCTAATGCTAAAGAGCGTAACTTTGAAGCCTCTTAACTCGAAAAGTACTTAACGAAAAAATACTTAAGTATAGTGTTTTGGAAAGCTCTCGAGATAAGCTACAAGAATATACAATAAAAAATGGGGGTATCCATTTAAAAACATCATTGTGACCTTGACCTGATCTTTATGACGCAACTCAAGGTCAAACTGCTAATATCATAAAATAGATCTTTTTAAACCCTACAACTTTTGTATTTAACATTTTTTTATACAACGCTTTGTTTTCGAGATATTCAGGTGTTCCGGTATATAATATTCACCCTGTATATAGGGTGTCCCATTTTAAATTACGCACCTGAATATCTCGTCAGGGGAGCCACGAATTCGAAAATAACTCTTAAAAAGTTGTTAGGTTCGGAGGGGGACATCGGATGGTGATTTTTAATTTCACCTTGACCTTGACTTTCAAGGCCATTTAAAGGTCAAGTCGAATTTTTAAATAGAAACCCCTATTTTTGACCCCGGATTCGGAAAGAGCGCAAAATTTTACGTTTAGATGGGTACTTGAGGCTCTTCTTTAGAATGACCTTCAGAGGTTATTTCAAGGACACCCTATATATATATATATATATATATATATATATATATATATATATATATATATATA